ACTAAAGCCGGGCTTGTCTTTTCCCTGTCCCCGGCTGTCTTGATTCACAGGTGACTTGTCTGACAAAGACCTGACGGCCTTGCTGTGCTCATGAAGGAATAAAAGGCTCACAGTGCTTACAGCTCACAGTGCTCCATTGATAAGAGGGTCTGGCTAAGGCCAAAAGATAGAAACGACAGTGAGAGTACTTTGCTTTCTAAAGTTATTGACCAATTGTAATTGAACTACTTTTCAGAAGTGTGTCAAAAAGATAATGTTTGAATAAGCAAGTTAGGATTTGGCCACCAGAGTTTGTTGGTGTGCTAGGATAAATCTGAAGTCAAGAACGAGCTAAAGTGCTCACACCCAGAAAGATCAAGAGTTGAGAAGATACGAGCCAAGTCAAGGTTTGATTTCTTCCTGTGGAGAAGGACAGTTACCATAAGTGAACTCTTGAGTAGGTACCGAAACAAGTGAGTTTGTGCACACACAGATGCTGTTGAAGCTTCCATCTTTGAGAGAGAAGGGGTGAGTTGAGGTCTCGCTCAATGGAGAGCTGCTCGCTTGAGGGCTCGCTGAGCTGAGAGCAGGCCACAGCTGGAGTTGTCATGGCTTAAGGTTCTGGCTACTCATGGATAGACTTAATGGATAAGAAAGACAAAGCACAGCAGGCCAAGTCAAGTGGGTGTGCAAATGGACTGGCAACGGAAAGTTTGGGCTGGAAAAAGAATCCTTCCCTCAAACTTTTTCATTTTGGCCATGGCTTGGGATCCTTGTATAAAGGTCAGCCCATGGCTATGGTTAGCCATTTATGAAAGAGAAACCATAGTGGCATATATGGAGTGAAGCTGCGCAGGTGGTGCCAAAGGAGAGTTTAGCCACATATTTCCCATAACCACTTTTTATTTTGGCTGGTTTTATTGTTTTTTAATGATGATTGATTTATTTGAAGTCTTCGGGTAAGGCTGGGGGTTGAGTTCAGAGAGGGACAAAGCCTAAGGGTCTAGATGGAGTGGGACCACAGAGAAGCTGCTAAGGGAAGGTTTGTGCTGCAGAAGGTGGGTTCTGGGCAATTTTCGGGTTAGAAGAGACACAGTTTCTAGGGGTCTAGTTGTGGGTTTGCAGAGGGGCTGCCTAGGGACGGTTTGGTCTGCAGAAAAATTACCCACAAAGACTTCAATCAGGGCCATGTTTGGGTTTACCTGGGGTTAAGGCCCTGCACACATTTAGGGTGAGGAGAGGACAGTTCCTAGGGGTCTAGCTGGTGTGGGGCTGCTGAACGAAGGTCTGGGCTGCAGAAGGAATTCTCTGGGGACTTTTTTATCTGGGCAGCATTTGGGGCTGTCTGGTGTTAAAGCTGTATGTGCTTCTAGCATTAAGGTTTGAAGAGACACAAAGTCTAGGGATCTAGACAAAGCAGGGCTGCAGACAGGCTGCCAAGGGAAGGTGTGGGCCAAGGGAAGGTTCTCCCCCAAGAACTTTTTCCTCTGTACTGTGGTTTGGGTTTTCTGGGTTTAAGGACTACCTGGCCACACTAAGGGTTAGGATTAGAAGAGACGCAAAGCTGAAGAGTCCTGTTGTGGAGCTGCAAAAAGGCTACTAGGGGCAGGTTTATGCATAACAGAGAATTGTCCCCTGAGTGCTTTTCCATTTTGGCTGTGGTTTGGGATCTTTGGCTAAGGTCAGCCCAGCATTAAGATTAGGGCTAGGGTAAGTGTTATGGTTTCTATATGTTACAAAGTCCTGGTGTGAGTTGTTTCAGGGGAGGTGTTGATAAGGATTTCAAATGGGAGGTACTGGAATGAAGGAAGAGTTCTCCCCTGTGAAGGAATTCAGACCCAAGAGAGCTTAAACAGAGGATGAGTACATAATAGATCTTTAGTTTCATGAGAATCCTACCAGTGCCCAGTTATGCAGGACTTTGATTTCCATCTGGAGCTCAGCGCTCTTTATATACTATTTGTTTGGAATTGAAACTTAACTTTCCAGTTTCTGCTCAAGGCAGAAACTTTATGTCTTAGCTGTTAAAGTCAGTGATACAACTCCTGATAGCTGGAGTTCCCTCCCCATTTGGCCCATTCAGGTGGTGTTCTCCAGACCATTTGACCACTCTTCTCACCATAAACAATCCATTAACCAATACCATGTCATTCTTTGAAGTTTCTCACATTTGCCATAGGGCCTGCAATAAATATAACCTAATACAATCAATATACCTGGTAGCAGGCAGTGTTTATAGCAGTGTATTAAGCATTAACATTTTTTGTACAGAGAGAAGGAAACAGAAAAAAATATTTAGGAATGCATTTACCCAATTAAAGTAACTTGTGTTGCTTTGTCTTTCCTTTTCTTTTTCTCTGCTCCTTGGCACAAGGCACCTTGATACTTTGCATTTGCCTTAATCTACATACTAAATTTAACCTTTTTTTTTGGCACAGACTGTTCACTCTGAAGGATTTTTCCCCATGTCTTACTTGCATCCACTTGTCAAAATAGCTACGCGTTTCAGTGAGGCACCTGAAATAACCTGACATTTTACAAATTGCCAACAGCTTTCTGAGACAATTCTCTGTGCTTTGACATGCTGAGTGCTGTTCTATTTTTTTTTTTCCAACGTGTGCCTTCTTACTTCCTGACCCCAGCTGTGATCTTGGAAATTTAACGGGTTAGGTTCTCTTCTGTGAGAAAAGACCTACAAAGCCTTACTTCTGGTTTTAGTCATTCAAGCAAAGAATCAGAATGCTGGTCAAGAGTTACTCCAGCTGAAAAACTGCAATAAGGAATTTGAGAACTAGCACTAGAGATTCCACCAGATCCCCCAAAATAGAATAGAATTAGAGCTGGTCTTGTGTTACTGCCTCCAAAGAGAAATACTGCTTTAGAATAAAAGTGGTATATTTATTGTAACACAACATTTGTAAAACTAATTTATTGGAACAACAACAAAGAAACTGAATGACCAATGAAAGAAATTTATGATCTATAATAGAAGCAGAGACTGAATTCAGCCTCAAAACTATATACAATATTTACTTCTGATAGATAGTAAAGACAGTGGTTTCCAGGAGTCATTAGCAAAGAGGTCTCTGATAAACCAGCTGCAATCTCTCATATCATGGAAACAAATTTGCAACATTGAAGTTCCTGTTTGCTGCCATTTCCAATTTTCTGAAACTTTTAGAGCTGAAGTGCTCCAGGTATAGTTGCTGTCTGAAGGTAAATAGCACTGGAAAGTTTGGTCAAAGCAGCTCAATATTCAATAGCTGAAGGAGAAAAAATGAAGGAAAAAGTGATATTTCTCTACGGAAACCTTTGTCTAATGTTAGAAAGTCTATAGGCTCTTTGTTCTATCTCTTGGCACCAGAGAAGGCCTGTGGGAACTGAGACAGGTGTATGTTCAGAATGTGCTTTTACCACAGCAAACATCCTTGCGAAAGAGCACTTGATACTACTACTTTTAAAA